AAAGTATACCTAAACCACTAGTCTATTATAAATGTGCTAGTTCATTTTTATTTAACATGACTTATGGCTCTGATTTAGGATTCCTCTATACAAGGTGCATTGGATGCCTCAATGGCAGTCATAGGTGCCCTGAAATATATGAGTTAAACAGGTAGAGGCTTATAATCTTCTCTTTTTCACCAGCAGAAAAAGAAGATGTCCCAAAGAAAAGTGAGAAGGAAACTGCCATTGATGTGAAAAAAAAAGGTATTGCAGATTGTTTCCTTAATCCGATTATGTTAAGGGTGTTTGTTTCATGAAAAAATCTTGTTGCAACCTATACAAATCTGCCATAAATAGATTTTCAAAGCAAAAATTGTTCGAGACAAAGGTTAACAAGAAAGGAAGACTATTCAAGGCTACTGCAATAGGGGAGAGAGACCAGAACTGAGTCTGAATTTAACACCACTGAAACAAAAAGCAGCAGAGTTTGTAAGACCTGGAATGGGGAATCATAGGCCATCTGAAAAAAGAAAAAAAAAAAAAGGAAACTTTCTGTCTCATATCTCCATGACAGGAGGTAGTTTCAAAACTTGGAACAAGGTGCCCAAGAAAATTAGGGTCCTACACTCCCACAGGAACTGGGAGAGAAGGGTACTATCTTGATGATGACATTTCAAAGGGATGGCTCTCAGATTCTTGAGAAAGGCCTTCTAGGGTTGTAAAACTTGATAGTGGCCTGTAAAAAGGTTTACATCTCAAAGAGACAGAGAAAGAATTTACAATTACGAGTTTTCTAAAGTAAGTCCTCTAAGAAAAGGAAGGTCAGGACCCTAACGTCAGAGAGGAAGCCTGTTAAAGTTTAATCAAGCTGAGGGCCAGCTTGAAATTGAGAAGGGCTATGTAGTATGATGATACCACTTTGCAAAGATAAGCTGGGAGAGAATAATGGATTCCATTAAGAAATAGGATTATTCAACTATTTGACAGCCAAGATTTTTGCTTTAAATTTCATTCTGTTTCTATTCTTGTTCAAACATGAATATTGGCTTCTATTCAGGTTCGGCTTAAGTCTACATGAAACAGATAGTCATCTCAAGTATTATGGTTTGGTGATAAGTATTCTCACCTCAAATATTTCCTCCACCAGTGTCAGTGATGCTTGAAATTCTATCATTAGAGCCATTCCAATTTTTTGAGTTATGAAGGAATTGTCCTCTATTAAAATGCAAATCTCCTGAATCCTGTGTATATGGGGTGAAAAACTAATTCCTCTCAGCTATTAACAACTTAAAGTAAATGAGATTTCCAGATCTTCCCCATGTAATAGCTGAAAACAGTGTCTTAGAAAATGAGGTGGTAGGTCAGCTTAAATGAGGGAGAGGCTGCAGAGAGAGCTTCAAGATGGGACATTGTCTGGTGAGGGCAGGCTGAGCTAGATGGCATTCATGAAAACCAGCCATCTTTTTAGATAGTAGTATACGCAGAAAAAATGGTGGTGGTGAGGACCCTAAAAAGTGAGACCATAGGATGCTCAACTACATAATGATTACTCTTAGCAAGTAGCAAATAGAAATAAAAGGAAATCTCTGACATCATGCTATAAATGGAGTAGAAAAAACATAAAATATTAAGAGTTGTATGATTGTATGGCTCATGAAATGAGCAAGAACAGACAGATGGACATTCTGTGGGTCTGGGAGTCAATTGCCAATTCATTTGCATCCAAATTTCCATTGTTAAGAGTGTATTATTTTAGGGTCTATTGTATTGTTGAAATTCATTCATTTTGTTTTAAAATTTTCTTTATTTTTCTGGTGAGATATATAGTTTACCATGGAATGAAAAAACAAAGTTCTCACTATAATATAATGCTACTGAGAAACTGGTTACTTGGGTCAGTGGATCTATGACAATTATGTAATTGGGTGGCAAAGATAAACCCAGGTGCTCCTTCCTGGGTCATTAGTTTTACTAAAAGTATTGCAGAAGAAAGTTTTGAATCGTAATTTTCAAAGCTTTGTCATATATATGCAAGTGCAAAGTCAGAAAAAATGCTTTTGGCAAAACTCGATGTGTGTTTGTGTGTGTGTGTGTGTGTGTGTGTGTGTGTGTGTGTTTCTGTGTGGCAGTGTTGTTTTGGTTTGATTTTAGCTTTTTGAGGGAAAAAGCAAAATATGTTTATGTGCAATGAGTCATAGGAAAATCTGATACTTCCTTGTCATTGGGAGACCTGTGTTATTAGCCTGGCAGTCACATCAAAGCGAGGTTGTGCACCACCGGAGAGAGAACTGATTATGCCAATATCACTTCTTGCAAGGACAATGCTCAACTACTGAAGCATAGACCAAACTGGGCAATTGCTCAGCACATCTGGGGAGAGCTGCTCAGCTAGTGTTGCAAAACAGGTTTGTCCTTCTTGGAACCAGTTTTCTGGTTGTTTGCTTGTCATTTTTACTTTTGATGACACAAAATACCATTGGTTGTTTCAAATCAGTTCAACTTCCTGATGAAAATACGCATAGTTCGATCATTTGTTTACTAGTTCTTAACCCCACAATACTCAAAATTGTGTGTGTGTGTGAGTGTGTGTGTGTATGTGTGTGTGTGTGTAAGAGAGAGAGATGGAGAGGGAGGGAGAGAGAGAGGACAGAGAGAGACAAGGTTGAGGGGAGAGAGAGAGAGACAGAGAGGAAGAGATAGGTTGAGGTTCAATTAGTGCCAGTTTTTAACTGTCTTTCTTTTTGGAGTTTAATAATTCTTCAAGTAAATTTTCATGTGACAGCAATATGATTTACAAACCAGATTTAAGCTTATTATGAAAGTAGTACAAATTTATAGAGATAATGAGAAAAATTGAGAATAACCTGAAATCTTGAAGAGCTGGGAAACAAACGTCATTTCTTCCTAAAATAGTCAGAGGAATGTGGCGCAGCATATGATATCACTACTGTAGTCCCCAAGAGTAGCAAATTTATAAGGCATAAGATATGCCTACATGTTTCTTTAATATATGTGTTTTATGGTGATATTTTATTATATTTATGT